TTTTGTACTGAGTAGTTACTGGTAACTTGGGTCTTCACTATTTTAGTTTAGGCTCCCATCCTCTTTTCAGTAGAAACTCTCTTAACCAAAACACACCTTGGAAACAAGGAGGGAAAGTGGCTGTTCTGAGGAGAGAGAAAACAGGTTGTGAGAATGGTGCTTTGGAGCATTCTGCGTGTGATGGGAACGGGTTGGTGCTCGACAGGAAACTGGAGGATTTTATGAACTCGATTTATGCAAACAGAGCACTCACAGAACATGCAAATGGGTGTCTTGCTCACCCCAGGTGTGTGGAGTGACTCTGCCCAGGCTCACAGCCTTAATGTCAGCTTGCGGGACAAAAATAGAGGGGAACAAGGAGTTTCAAGAGCAACCAAAGAGCTGTTTGCAAGGGCCGTAGGACCCATGGGAAGGACTTTTACTGTTTTATTTACTTATGGGGTTTCTCCCTCTCACCCCTTCCTTCCCCATCCCTTGTACTCGCCTCAGCTGCATCGTGCCTGGGGTTTGAGGTTGGAGGAGTTCAGCGGCTGGAGCTATTCAGACTCTTGGCTAACTTTAGCAACAACCCTTTTGTGTAGCATTCCTGGCAGACAGTCACTTTAGATGAAAATGTGGAGGCAGAGGGTGATTTCATCACTCCCCCCCAGTGCAGTTTTCCATGCTGCTTAATGTGTTTGAGAGTGTTTAGAGCCTGTACTTGTAGTAATACAGAAGTTAAAAGTTTACCTAAAAGCTAAAGGTCATCTTGGTGCTGCTGCATGGAAACAGTGTGTGTTATTAGCCTCCTTAAGGAAAGGAGAAGAAAAACAAACCAAACCCCAGCCACTCAAAGGAGGTTGTTTAGTTATTTTAGTGGCCTTAAACCTGTCTAACTAGAAGGGGTGATAAACACCCTACGCTGACCCAGCAAACCTTGGAACGTGAGATCTTGGGCCTGTCTCAGATGGGACCTTCACCTCAGGTCGGGTTGTTGGGGTTTGTGTGTGTCTGATGTACACTGCACCCGCACCCAGCAGCGAGGGCCATGTGGAGAGCCCTTCATGCTGGGCTCAGGCACCCCTCAGCATGGGTGTTATCATCCATCCTGTCCCATGTCCAAAGAGACAAGGACCTGAGGAATGGGCAGAGGCCAGCTTCAGGGATTCACCAGTTTTGTATTTGTGCTTGCCTGTGCTGGAGCATCTTGCTCAGTTACCTGTATCCCAAACCAAGCTCCAGTCGGGGTTTCCTGTGCACTGTTTTTTTTGTCCAGAAGTTGAGAATAATGCCCAACTTTGTGAACACATTGTGCTGCTGTAGATGCAAATTCAGTGTTTGTGTGATCTTTAACCTCTGGTAACTGTGAGTTTCCTACTCTGAAGTATTCATTACTCATTATTATGTACTATTTGTTCTTTCATAACCGTAGAAAACTTGTAAAAGGTAATGAAGCAGAGCCACTTGGTCTTAGTTGGAGGGTATTTATTATCTGAGAGGATGTAACTAATATTCAGGTATGCTTTTGTGGTTTAACCTCCAAGGAAAGCCACAAAGGCCTCACTGCTGCTAAGCCACTGCTGCTTCCTCATTAAAAAATGGCATATAACTTTATTCTTCTTTAATACCTGCTGTGATCAAGCTCTGAAGGATTTGAATGCAAACAACCTGTGCCCTGCATCTCAGTGCAGTGCCTGGAGTGTTTTCTCTAAGTTGCTGTCAGCGTTTCCTCCAGGCAGGACTCCCAGTTCAAGGCTCCCTGTTACTCATCAGTCAGAGATGTGGGAGAGCTTCTGCCTAGATCTTCTTTGAAACCGTTTGTTTTGTTTTGTCTTGTCTTATCAGCTATTAGTTCTATTAGCTGTGTAAGGAGAGAGCTTACTGAAGCAAACTGCAAACTGTAGCAGTTTGAGTGAGCAACACAACACAGCACGGTTTTGCTGTGTTTGCAATAAGCAGTTCCTGGATGTTGTTGCTTTGAAGCAGTAAGAGTTGGGTATGTTTGCTCTGCAAGATTAAATAGTTGCAAGTGTTTCCTAATTATGGCAATTTCATAGAGTTATCCAAGTAGATAAGATCAGAACTTGGAAGCCAAAACTGATTTGGAGCAATAAAGCACACAGAGAGTTGGGACTGCATGTTATTAGGGACCACAAATGAACTCTGTTACAAGTTCGACTGTGGAGGCTGTGTTTGGTTAATATTTATCTCCAAGATAGTGAAGAAAATGATCCAACAGGTTAAACTTCATAAAGATGCTTGATTATTAGTTGATCACCAATGGACGCTTGGGTGCCCATCCCACTGCTGCGGCTCGTCAGAGTTTAACACCTTTGAACATAGAGGAGCTGGTCTTGGACTTTGGTTTCCACAGCTTAGTGTGGCTCTTAGCTTTCTGTTCAACAGCTCTTGCTGGAAAGTAAACTTTTAGACGTTTCTGGAAATTCCCCTGAATGTTGGTAGTTGTAGCCAAAACCTGCTTTTTGTGTGATCAGAATCCCTTCAGATGTGTGTCCTGTTCAGGGCCTGTCTGGTGTTGGACAAGATATACAAGAAAAACTTCTGCAGCAAAGCTTTATCTTAAGTGTAAATCTATAAAATCAGCTGGTATTAAGATAAGCTTTCAGAGTTACATCAAGTATCAAAGGCAAAGGATGCTCATGTCCCAGCCGGGTGGTATTTATTGCGTTCTCTATGTTTTTTAGCCATCTGTTCTGCAGTCCATTTCTGTCCCCCCCCCCAACCCCCAGTTGAACTTACCAACTGCTCCAGCTCATTCCCAGTTCTTGCTGGTGACAGCCTGGTGTTAAAGCAGGAAAGCTGTGTATCACAGTTGGACACTGGCACTATTGAGCTGACCGAAGCGCACAAAGATCCACGAGGGTGGATGTGGGAGGAATATTTACTTTTTTCCTTTATATAGTAACGCTTGTTGGTGGCTGAGCTCAGAATGCTTCACCGAGCAGGTCGGTGTCAAGATTTGTTTCGATGATGGGGAAGCTGAAGTACAGAAGAGAAAGTGACTTGTCTGAAGTCACTTGGAAACCAGCAGCTGTTTTCTCCTCTTTGCGAGTCTAACCTGTCTTAGGTTAGACGTGCTGTGACGTGCTGCCTTCACTGTGGGATCTGTGTGCTCCTGCTGGCTCCGGTGTTCGTGAGCAGCTGCCCCTCGTGTGCCGGGGCGCCGGCTCCGGTCTCTGTTGAAGAGACTTGTCCAAAGGAGTCCCCAGGACAGGATGAGCCACCAGCCAGTGGCAGGACCAGGGCGTTGGCTGCCCCTTTTGTGCTGGATGGGCACATGGGATGTGTGCTCCGGGGAGCCCCCCCAGCCGGGACAGGCACTGTCACCCACTGCTTGCGGGCTGTGGGGCACCCGCTGTCAGAAGGAGGTGCCTGTGAAGAGCAGGGTGGCTCACGTTTGCCTTGCACTCCATGGCAAGCTGCTGCATTTCAGGTTTTGCTAATCTTGAATCCATTGCCTTTGAGCTTGATTTTCTGATGAGAGAATCAGTGTGGTCATGGTGAGGAGCTGTGTGCTCTGTCCTCAGATCAAACGACAATTTCTTTCTACCCTGGCTTAGAAGAAGCATTTTAAGAGACCTTTTTACAGTAATCTTGGTCACTATTGATTTGCATAATTAAAAACACGACTGCAAAAGTTTACTGCATCTGTCCCTTGTCAGAGCTGCAGGGTACCAGCAGAAAGAAACAAGCACAGAAGCAGGGCTATCCCTGTTATTTTTGCAGTTACTCTGCATCATGTGTGCTGAGGTTATTGCTCTCTCAGTAACCATGCCCATCTCCTGCACCTCTGTTTGCTGCCCTCCCCAGCACAAGAGGGGTGACAGGATGTTGTGTGTGTGTGTGTGTGTGTGTCCCCATAGCAAGCCCTGTCCCTGGGGGCCAAAGCCTGAAGAGAGAGGAGTTCATTCATTATTCTTCCTGAAGCAGCTCGTGGAAACCAGGCTGTTCCTCCTGGGAATGGCCACAGGGTCAGCATGGCCCTTGTGGTGGTGGGGAGAGCCAAGTGCCACCCAGTCACAACTAACAGCATCTTGTACAGCAGTTTTTTAATGTGTTCCTACCCCGTAGAGTACCCGGTTATTCTGGACTTTAAATTACCCTTTTAAAAAATGCAAATAGTTCTGAGGCTTGTGTCCATTCATTCACAAGATGATGATAAGACATGAAATACAAGTTGTAGGACTCAGTATCAACAGGGAGACCTTTTTAGACGTATTGTTTGCAATGTTCAGTTTAGGTAATGCAGAGAAAGTTATTAGGACAGAATGCATTGAATGTGTGTTAAAGCAACAGCAAACTTATAAATACTGTCTCTGATTTGATGCCTAACCCAAAAAGCGTATGTTGCAGGGGTCTTAGTATGGTAATTGCGTCCTGGTGCTGACTATTTAGTATTTAAGATACTCGCATTATGCAGGACTAACACTTGAAATAGTGCGATGGATTTACAAGCCTCCTTCATTAGATACATGTGTATATATACTGTAGTATGTGTGTGATTTACCTAGATGTTTCTGTAAATAAGGTACTTCATAAATGAACCCATCTGATGTGACAGCTGATGAGCATTCTGCCATGAGCTAATGCCAGATACTTTCTAAAAGTGAAAAAAAATCCAACACTTAATGAATGAATTCAGGTGTTTTGAACTTGGTTGGAACTCAGTTCCAGCTCCCAGACAGGCAAATGTTTTGATCATCTCCATGGTGTTAGGTCCTCTCTGAGGTGAGCTGGAAGAGTTTGTTTTAAATGCCAAGGAACTAATTCATAGCTTAGAAAAGAAAATATAATCTAAAAATACTAGATACAATTACTGTGTCTTAGGAGTCTTTCATGTGCATAACAAATGATGCTGCTCTAATTGCTGATGACTGTTCTGCTGTTACTGCTCAGGTAGCAGCTGATAGTCCTCAGAAATAGCATGTCTGGATTTGTCACTTGTGTGATAATAGCTGTGGATGCAACTCGGTTAATACTCGTTCATCCGTCTGTTCCAGGTTGTACATGCACACAAGCCCCACTTCATGGCTCTGCACTGTCAAGAATTTGGAGGAAAAAACTACGAAGCTTCCATGTCTCATGTGGACAAGTTTGTGAAGTAAGTGTGGAGGGTTGACCCTGGACGGTGCCCCCAAAGCTGCTCCGTCACTGCCTTCCTCAGCTGGGCAGGGGAGAGAGCACAGTGAAAGGCTCGTGGGTTGAGATCAGAACAGGGAGCTCCTTCAGCAATTGCCATTACTGGCGAAACAGACTCGACTTTGGGAAATCAGTTTAATTTACTGGCAATCAAATCAGGGTAGGATAATGAGAAATAAACCCAAATCTGAAAACACCTCCCCCCACCGCTCCTTCCTCCTCTGGGGAGGCCTCCTCACACTCCTCCCCTGCCATGCCACCGGGGCACAGCCTGCCCTCCGTGGTCTGCACCCTGTGCTGCAGGGGAACCTCTGCGATGGCTCTTGGAGCGCCTCCTGCCGCACTGACCGTGGGGTCTGCAGAGCTGTTCTCTCACATTTCCTCACTCCTCTTTCCACTGCAGTTGCTGCTGTGCAGCAGCTTTTCCCTTTCCATATATACTTTATTCCAGAGGCACTCCCACCATTGCTGATGGGCTCAGCCTTGCCTGATGGCAGTTCCATCATGGGGCTGGCTGGCATTGGCTCCACTGGATGCAGGGGAAGCTTATAGCAGCTTCTCACAGAAGCCACCCCTGTAACTCCCCTCGCCGCTATCAAAACCTTGTCACACAAACCCAATGCAGCAAGTAATTGGCAAGCAGGAGTATGTAATGTGTATATAATTCTAAGTCAAAGTCATTAGACATGTAAAGTTGTAAAAGGTTTTAAGTCTTTTTCAACTCCAGTGTGTTATATGACCTTCAAGAAGGAAGTGACTAGCCAAGTGTTTCTGCTTTATGTTTGTTAAGAAATCAGAAAAAGTAATAAAAGGCTCCTCTGGCCATGTCCTGGCAAGATAATTGTGCAAGATACAGAATATGTATCTGGCTTGGTGTCATCTCTGAGATGAGGCTTATTATTGCAGAATCAGAGGATGGTTCGTGTTGGAAGGGACCTTAAAGCTCACCCGGCTCCAACCCCTGCCACGGGCAGGGACCCCTTCCACTAGAACAGCTTGCTCCAAGCCCCTGTGTCCAACCTGGCCTTGAACACTGCCAGGGATGGGGCAGCCACAGTTGCTGATCTTGTGTTGAGCAGTTCCATGTGTGAGAGCACGGAGGCTCCGCTGCCAGGCCGCGTGTTGTGAGCCCAGCGCCTGCCAGCGGGGGCACGTCCCGGCGGCTGCGACAGCGGGGCTGGGGTCGGGGCAGGCGGTGCGGTGCGGGTGATGTGGAGCACAGCTCACGGGCACACCGCAGTCGGTCAGGGCGCGGCGCTCGGAGCTGTAGCTCGGCTGCTCAGGCTGAAGCACATCTCAAATCGATGGATGAGGTTGTTTCCGCCCATGGGGCAGCCAGGAGCCGCGGATGTGCTGGATTGTCAGCTCTCAGCGGGGCCCGTCCTGCTCGAGATGCTTCTGGTAACTCCAGTAACCTCCGTAAAGCCGCCCCGGGTGCCGGAGCACGGCCGGGGCAGAGCCAGAGCGGACCCGGAGCACGGCCGGGGCAGAGCCAGAGCGGACCCGGGGCACGGCCGGGGCAGAGCCAGAGCGGACCCGGAGCACGGCCGGGGCAGAGCCAGAGCGGACCCGGAGCACGGCCGGGGCAGAGCCAGAGCGGACCCGGGGCACGGCCGGGGCAGAGCCAGAGCGGACCCGGGGCACGGCCGGGGCAGAGCCAGAGCGGACCCGGAGCAAACCAGTGGCAGCGCTCGGCCCGGCCCGGTCGGTGCTCGACGGGTGCCGGAGCTGCAGTGAGCGGCGATGCGGCAGCGCCTCCTGCTGGCGGCGGCGCGCCCTGCCGGGGAGGAGCCTTGCCCGGGCAGCGGAGCGGGCCCGGGCCGGGCCGTGGGGGTCCCGCCGGCCTGCGGGAAGGCAGGGACGGTCCGGAGTGCGGACCGCGGCCTTCGGCGTGAACCGCCCGCGTCTCTGGAGCGCTGTGGCCCTCGGAGCGTTGGGTCCCCCGCGGCACTGCGGAGCGCCGTGACTCCCGCTGCAGGGGCAGCCGGGGCGGTCAGCCCAGCGCCGGCAGGATGGGAGCTGTGGTCCCTCAAGTCCCTGCCACGCTGAGGTGAAGGCCCGTGGTTCCTGTGGGGGCACTGGGCACCGCACAGGACGGAGAATGCGCTAAAGCAGTGTAGAGTCTCTGAATCTCCCTTTATACTTTCAAACTCTTCTTTCCCTTCTAGAGAACTGTTATCGAGTGATGCAATGAAGGACTACAACCGAGCTCGAGTTTACCTGGATGAGAACTACAAGTCACAGGAACATTTTACGGTAAATTTCATTTCACAACTTCAACGCCTGGTGATTTTCTTCTGTTAAACCGTTTGGGGTTGTGCATTGTTGGGGTGGAGCTGTTCCCGTCACAGTGGGGATTGTGTCTTTGCGGAGGCTGTTTGCTTTTCAGGATGTGTAAAACGCTGTTTTCACAGCTGTGCGTCCCTTTTAAAATGAGCATCACAGCACACAGAAAGTCTTTTGTTTAAAACTATTGTTTAGGGTTTCTTTCTCCTCCAACAACTAACTTCTTGGTGGGTCAGAGCCACCTTCCATTCAAGACAGCACGTTGTTGACTGATGGTGTGAGAGGTGCTGGCTCTGGAGCATGGGGAGCGAGTGACAGGGCTTGGAGCATGCTCAAGACTTGTGTTACCAACATCTGGGGCTGTTCCATGGCCTTTGTGATGCAAAGAGCCAGAGCTCAGGGTTCCGCTGGCGTGCGAGTGATGCGTAGGGAAATGTGACAGCACGTGTGTGGAGCTGCCTGTGTGAAGCAGAGCAGAAGTGGCTGTGCCATCGCTGCAGGGACTGTGCAATGTGCAAACAGGTCTGCTGGTTGTTCAGGTGATGGCTGCTAGATTGTGCAGGAAAACGCTCCTTAGAGGTGAGTCAGTGACATGTCCCATCCGCCCAGGACAGCAGCGGCCTTCTCCCCAGGGTGCTGCTCACAGGATCCCTCTGGCCCAGGCTCCCCGGTGCCTCTGGGCTCGGCTCCCCAGCGTGAGCTGTGCTGCTGGCGTGATGCACGGAGACGAGCTGTCAGGGCTCTGCGTGACCAGATTCGCTTTCAGCAGAGGCTCAGGCTGGGTGACCTTCAGAGGCCCCTTCTGGGCTAGACTTATCTGTGATGATGGGACAAAAGGGTAATCACCCATGATCTTCATATGGGAAACAGTATAGAGTGCAATGCAACCTGTAACTAAATATCTGTAACTTAGAAACGTTGGCCACAGGACTTTATTGTATGAAGTTATTTAACATGAGGCTCATTTGGTTTTGATGCCACTATGGTGGATAAAAAGTTTCCTTTAACATGTTGACACCAATCCTAGACATAGAGCATCTGCTGTTTGTCTCCACTTTGCAAAGTTCCTGGTTCAAGCAGTAGTGTGGTTTCTTGTTTCACATACTGGCATTATTTTCTAGGCACTGTGTTTTCTTGCAGTATTCCCCAACCACCTTTGTAGTTCTCCTTTTTGTGTCATAACTGTTACTTTGCATACCTTCTTCTACTCATCCTGTATTTATAAGGCAAGGCTTTCTTGGTTTGTGAAGGTGTCTGTCGTAGCCCCACATGGACTGTTTGTAAATAGCACTTCCTCTACCAGTAAAGCTGCTGATAGAATCAACAGACAGGAAAGTTACTGGGAAATAAGGATGAACGTGGTACCACTGTGCTGGTAAGATGTGTGCAGCAGAGAGGGGGCTCACTGTCTGGGAAGGAGCAGACAAAAGGATTTTTGTCTCCCCACCACCATAGAGGTGGTGGTGGGGAGACTAGAAATGAGCTGCCATTGCAGTGCTGTGGCTCAAGACAGGAAGTGATCCTTGCAAGCATAGATGGTGGGAAAGGACTATGAGGGAGATGGTAACTTTGTCCCCATGTACAGCCACAGTGAAGGCAGCATGGGTGTTCTGGCATCCAGTTCTTGCCTCAGAGCTTGTAAGAGCATAATGAAAAGATGGGGGTGACTTGTAGAATGATGTTTCTGTTTTTTTTCTGTTTAGAGCTGAATCTGTTCAGTGTGGAAAAGAGACAGTCCAGAAGATGAGTGATGATTTAAATGCTGTGTGCTAGAGGAATATTTTTTACCTTCCTGTGTTAAACTACTAGTAGTAATGGCTTGGAACTAAGACAGGAAAACCTAGAAAGGAGAGGATGCATGTTCATGTTGAGCCTCTCAAGCTTTTAACTTCTTGTTGTCTACTTGTTGGCACTTAATGCTGGCCGTCTTCAGACACAGTTCTGAGACTCCTGTTGTGCATCAGATGTTCATAGAAAGGGGTTTTTACGCGTGATTTGTACTGGCAGCTCTTCAGCTCCTCTGTCCAGTCTCTGAGTGTATGAGGCTGTGGTGGATGACTGTCTGAGCAGGGATTTCACCCCGCTCCTGTGGCCATTTAGGGTAAAGTTTCAGTCTTCTCTCTGGCGAGGTTTGGCTCGCAGGATGTTATGCATCTCCCTGTTTCCTCATTAGTTCTGTTTGATTGCAAAGTTCTTTAACTTCTGTGGGCTTCTTTCCATCCCTTCTAAGGCATGGAATTGGCAGCATATGGTAGCCTGTGATAATTACCTCTCTGTCTTTGAAGTATAAACATGTATCACATATATTGCCGCATAATGCTATTTTCCTCAGAAACAGAGAAGCCCACGTAGTTGCAGTTTGGCCAATGTTCACCCCTGCTGCTCTTATACCCCCTTTTCTGGCAGTTTTGGCAGCACTTCCCCAGTAAAGCTTTCCTTGGCTTGGCTCCTGCAAAGCTACATCAGGCTTTGCTGCCCGTAGTTCCTCAGCTTGGCTGTGTTAGGAATGACAGTAGCCTGCCCCTTCAGCATGCAGCATTTCTGTTCCCATTCAAGGCAACCAGGGACTCAGGGGGTTCTATTTCTCACAGGTGTTGAGATGTGAAAAAACCAATGTGTTAATGAGGTGTCTCTCATGGAGTGATTGGTTTTAAAAACTCTAGTAATTTACTGTATATTAAGGATCAAACCAGTTCATTTTGCATGGACCAAAACACAAATAAAGGTTAATACCAGGCATTTGTCATTTATGGCTGTGTATACCAAATCTGGTGTAGAACAGACTGGTCTGGGAATTGTGTGGAGAGAGCCGGAGGTGTCGTGACTAGGGAGCAAACTGTGGATCGGTTGATTGGTCTCGTTTTGCTGTAGGCGAGAGGATGGAGCCATGTAGGATTCATTGTGCTGAAAACTCCTCGAACAATGCACCCAAACTAAACCGCAGCCCCTGGGGTGAGGGGCACTTGTGGGATGCTGCTGGCCCTTGGGCAGCTCACAGCAGGTCTCTCTGGTCCTGGTGGGGTGCTCAGCTTGTGGCCTCCAAGGGAGGGGTTGGGAGGCAGAGGCAGGTCCAAAGGCTCTCCTCCAGGCCAGGCGTTTGGAACAGCAGAGGCTCGGCGGGCACATGGGGCAGCACCCAGGAGCACAGGGATGCGGCTCACCTCACCCTTCAGAGCTGCACAGCTCTCTAGAATGTAAAACCCAGCTGAAGATTAATCTCTTGGCAGAAAGCTGCTACATTAGAGCTAATGCTCATCTGCTCGGGAAGATGACAGCGCCGAAGTTAAGAGCTCCCAACAGTTATGAATGAGGCTTGTGGGTGACAACCTTTGCAGGCGTAATGATGGCTTCCCAGAAGCTTCAGATTAACTAAACAGGCAGCTCTGATCTGTTCCAGTTATAACTGGAAATACTGATGGCAAACTGGTGTGGACAAACGGACTCGTGTGTGAGCCAAAAGTGTCCAGGTACTCAAATGGCTTGGCAGTGCTTTTTAAAGTTCTGCCTCTTGTAGAGCTCTTTAAAACCATGATACAAAATGTAATCTAGAAGATCTTAGTAAATTGTAAATAGATTACCTTATAAAATGTAACTGAGTAGATCTTAGTTTCTGTTGGAGAACGCATTAAAATGACCAAAATAGGTAAAAGTTTGAGAAGCTGAGAAACTCAGCACATTTGTGAGTGCACCCAGTGGACTTCATTCTTAATCAGAAAGGTCTCTGCAGTGGTATTGACTTTTTCTAGTCCTAGCATTTACATTCTCTGTTAATTTTGCTGTACTTGTATATTTCATGTAAAGGGTAAATTATAAATCTTGATTTTTCTATGTGAAGAGTTACTCAGAAGTTCATCAGATCCGACTATTTTTACCTGTTGATACTTCTCAGGTAGCCTAAGTTAATTGTGAGTGAGGTGCTTTTATTCCGGAACAAGAGCATTCATACTGAAGCTGACTAGCGGCCAGAAATAAATTGATGTTTTCATCAAATCAAGAATAATTTCTATATGAAAACATGTCAGTATAATCAGTGACATTTTTTCCTGTAATTGGATCAAAGCTCATTTTGTTTGGTCCTCTGTAGTTATTGATTTGCTGGAATATTCAATTTATAGACTCACAGAATGGTTTGGGTTGGAAGGGACCTTAAAGCTCCTCCAGCTCCAACCCCTGCCACAGGCAGGGACCCCTTCCACTAGAGCAGCTTGCTCCAAGCCCCTGTGTCCAACCTGGCCTTGAGCACTGCCAGGGATGGGGCAGCCACAGCTCCTCTGGGCACCCTGTGCCAGTGCTGCACAGAAATTAAGGTTTTATATTGCTTTTTTCTTTCCCTTTTCTTTTTCTTCTCTTTGTTAAAAGAAGGCAGAAGCAGCCCCTGCACAGCTTAAACGTACCTGTTGTGGTTTTGGAAGGTTGAGAGAAACTCTTCCTTGCAGTAAGTCAGATCCCATGGGCTCCTGGCAAACCAGTGCTCATGCCACAAGTTTTTAGGGAGTGTGTTCAGAGCTGTGAGGTGGCTGCAGCACCTGGCTGGGTTGCAGAGGATCTGCAGAGCAGGAGTTGCTTTGCTGCTCAGAATAGATTTATTCTTTAAAGATCAAGAGATTCCTCAGTTCCCTGTCTCTTGCTCAGCCCCACAGGTAACCTTGCAATGAAAAAAAGTTGGGCTCTACCTCTGAACTTCAAGTTCCTGGTTTCTCCTCCTAGTAAGGATGTATTGCACTAGAATTAGTTCATTACAGAGCAGATTTAAGCAAGATACTCTCAAAGTTCGCGTTCCTGACATCAGGAAGATGTTTTTAAGCAACAGCAGCATCATAAACTGCAGATTTTGCTTTGCACTGCTAATAGAAATAAACAGAAAGGGGAGAAGGTGCTACGCTCACATGGCTGCTGCCCTCTAAAGTTCAAGCTTTGTGGGATAATTATTGAAATGAAACTTCCCTTAAACAACCACCCAGGAAATGTCA